GGGGGGGGGGGGGTATCCGCCTGGCGTGATGCCCCACAGCTCACCGCTCTCTTTTCTTCGTGCTGCACTCCGTTGCCTGATTCCTCCCGCACGAGCATCCGTTCCTCACCCCACCCACACGCATACACACCCTTGCACTCCCCTTGTTATTCTTGTAGAGCGGGGTTCCTGGTAAAGAGAAAGATGTTTTGAAAATAGGGAAGATAGGTGGATACGATGTGACTGACATTGAACTTTTCTTCATGCTGTACTACTGTTACACCTATACTATATATATATATATATATATAATGTGGGTTATTGTTGTGTGGCATCTTCTCTTTTGATTGCATCTGTACGTGAGTGTTTAGGGTGTTGTTGTTTTGTTCTTTATATATAGAGAGAAAGGATTGAGGGTGTTTGGTGGGCGTGTCACGTTCAGTGTACAGAACGGCACATTGAGGAAGAAACACGACAAATGCGTAGAAAATAATGGTCGTGTGGCTGGGATGGTGAAGGAAGGGGCGTGCGAGAGAAAGGGTGAAGAATGAAGAGAACGAACGCGGTGCGCAGTAACGCCGAGAGTCGGGGATGACGTGGGTGTCCAAAAAACGAAGAAAGAGAAGGGCACAGAGGAAAAGGAAAAAGAATGATGATACAGCAGCGCCAGAGTGAGAATGGAAAAAAAAAATGGGGAGTGAAGCCCCTATGGCGAGAGCCATGACGACAGAAAGAACTCGACATCAGAGACAGAAACAGAGAATTAAGAACACTATTTTATATCTTTCATCCCCCCACACACGGAGACAGAGACAGAGACAGACAGGGAGGAAGCAACGATTATATATACCTCCTTTGATCATTGCTTTTACTTCCGGTTCCCCACTCCTTCCCACCTCTGCCACGTCGCTTTTGCATTTTGAATAAACTCCAAGAGCGGTGCTGGTGTAGAGGATTCAACCTGCAGACCTTTGTTTTTTTGTTCTTGTTTGCCTTCGCCTCCCCCTGTTGCTCCTCTCTCTTCTTTTTGTGTTTTGTTGGTTTGTGTGCGGCCGTGGCTGCGAGTTGCTTGTATCATGCAGACGTGTGAGGTGCCGGCAGCCCGGCGGAAGACGTTGGGGGTGAGAATAGATGGCGGGGGAGCAAGAAGTAACACACACACACACACACAGAGAGAGAGAGAGAGAACGAGGGCCAGAAAGAGAGAGAGTAATGCACACATGCCTGGGAACGAGTTGCAGGGGCGAAAGAGAGAGGAGAAAAGAGAAGTAATGTTTGACAGAAGAAAAAAACTCCTCGTGCGGAGGGGACTTGCTGCTGTCTGCCCCACCACTGACCCAACAACGCGATTGGGGCACAAACGTGTGGTGGGGGGGAGGACTTGCCTCTCTTTCCCTCGCGCTCTCGTACTCTGCGCATGCATGCGTGTTTTGTCTGTGTGGATTCGTGACTCTCCGTCGTGTTGAGGTGTGTGTTTCCTTCTTGCTCATCTACGTGTTGTGTGTGTAAAAGATTTGTGTTTCCGCTTGTACGAAACGAAAGAGTCAGGAGGAAGTTAGACGACGAGCGCCTTGTTTTTGTTGTACCTGCAGAGAGAGAGAGAGAGAGAGAGAGAGAGAAACGAAAAAAAAGGAACTGAGAAGGAGAGAGAAAAGACAAAAAGAAAAAGAAAAGGTGCGCTTCTCTATCCAAAAGAGAAACGAAAGAAAAGAAAAAAAAAGAAAAGAAATTTCTGTTTTGTACGCAGATAATCTCTACGCTGTTTGTGCTCGCTGTCTTGTTCGCGGTGTTTCACTCCACTTGTCTCCTTTGACGCCCGCTCGACTTGCGGCGGCACAGCACGGCCAACGCGCACACACATACATACATGCGTGGAGCCACAGCCGGTCACAGAATCTCCCCTCCAATACAACTGTTTGTTTTTTGTTGTTGTTGTTTTTCAGATCACGAGAGTTCAATTTACGCGGTCTGCCTTGCAGCTCCACACCGCCGGTTCCTACACATGCGTTAAATCCGGTCGGACTCTTTTGCTGGTGTTTGTTTCTTAATTCATTTTGTTGTTTTCAATTGTGGCTGTGGCGCGTGTTCGTTGACTGCTGCTATGTGTGCTTTAGTGGGGGTGGTGGGGAATGACTCTGATTTGAACTGCAATGCACTTGTTTCTGAGTTCCAGCTGCCGAGCACAGGCCGTTTCCACCAGACGCACATACACAGGCTGAGGGAGCATTGCTTCTGCTTATAGAGGGAGGCGGGGATCGCATTAATGCTGGGTTGCTTCAGAGTCGATGACAAATTCAAAAGAAAATTGATCTCTAAAGAAACAGCCCAAGCGCCGCGGCACACAGTCGCAGTCTATGTGGAAGCAGTGGGTTCTCTATTTCACTGTTTCTTTTCGCCGGTGGTTTTTTTTTGTTGTTGTTTTATGTCTGTGTGTGCTGGCGTTGTGGGACAAGCCAAGCAGATTTGTGCGCACAGCATGATAAGGAGGCGTTGTTTTTGGTGCGATTTCCCCCATACCCAGAAGAATACATGTTGATTAATATATGATGCTTGGCCTTTTATTCGACTTTCGTGGAAAGGCACATCCCGACCTTTATTTTTCCTCGCGTACTGGTGTAGCGCTGCCTGCCGCGCATGAAAGCTTCCATGCGGCGGTGGCCCGTCGTGGGTGAGGAAGATACATGTAGACGAGGAAGGAGGGGGCGTGTGTGCGCACAGAGGGCATCAAGCATCTATATTCAATATTTGTACCCACACCTGGCAAAGAGAGGGAGAAGAAAATGACGAGAATAGGGATTTATAGACGTTTCCCCTGTTGTTCTTTTTTTTCGCATTTACACCCATTTCTCTTTCCTAGGTATGCGAACTATACAGGCAGAATTCCTTTTTTCCTGCTTTGGTGCTTTTTGTTTTACATCTCTTGTATCACGCATATAGACTGCGATATGGGCAGGCAGCCAGGAGCAGGCTTTTGCTTCATTTTTTTTGTCTCTCTCTGTGTGTGTGTGTGTGTGCCATGCCTGTATTTATTGTTTCAGTTTTAATAAAATTTGTCAAGCGACTCCACTCACTTTGTGAGGGGCTTCCTACGAGCCTGGTGTTTTTTACTCATTTTGTTTCGGTTTAAACACTTAAGATTGCACACGCCACTACGCACCACTTCGGGCCTTTGCAATGTATGGAGGATCTGGGTTGTGCTCATGCGTCTAGATGGCTGAGCAGGACTGACTCGGGTGGGAACAGGGATGGAAGGTAGAATGAGGTGGAAATCCATCTGAAAGAGCATTTTCTGTTTTTACTTGTCGCTACTACTAATCCTTGTTTGTTCTTTCCGTTTTGATACGGTTCAGTCCTACCCGTATTGGTTTCTGGACGCGTGAATGTGAGTATTCCATCCCCTTTGCGTGTGACTGTGTGTTTTGGTGTTTTTCTTGATATTATTATCATTAATGTCACCATTTTTCTTGCTGTATTCATCGCGTGAATCCGTTTTTGTCTTTTTGTTGTGCGCGCACGGCGTGGGGCTGCATGGAAGATAAATCGGCAGCATTCTTTACAGAGTGTGTGTCTGAGGTGGCAGCACCCTTTCCTTTCACTACGTGTGGACGCTGCATGGGCCGTTTCTGCCGTGCAGGACGTTGCGCAAGTAGCGTTGCCGCGAGGGGGGTGTAGAGAGGGCGAAGGGGAATGAGGGGGCGGTGGCTGCAGCTCACGTTTGGCTGTCACCTTCCTATTTCCTTGCGGTTTGTGTCCTCTCTGTTTGCGGCTGCTTCCAACGTTCTGTTCGTTCCTGGTCCCCTTTGCCGTCCTTATTTACACTTTCGTGCGTTCACCACGTATCCATTGGAGAACAGCGGGTTTTTTCTCTTTTGATTCGGAGAAAAAAAAAGTATATATATACATATATATATATATATATAATCAATGCGATGTTAAAACAGCAAAACAAATAACGTATTTTCGCTGTAGGAGACGCTGTGGTGTGGAGTGCTCCAACGGCAACACCCATTGTGGAATGGTACGGCACCTGAGTTGTTCCTCTATTGCCATGAATCTCCAAGGGGAGACACAACAAGCAACAGGTGGGCAATACAGATAGAGAAAATAAAGTGGGCTGCCTTTTTTTATTTATTTATTTTGGTTTGCCGGTGCTGTGTCACATGCGCTGCGCACACACAAATCGTGAGTTGGTGCGAGCCTGTGCAAGCGAACATCCCTCTGCAGCGATCGGTCGAAACAAAAAAAAAATAATGATGTGAGCGTGCAGTTTTGCACCACCACAGCCGACAAAAAAAACAAGAATGACATATTGTCTTTCTTTCCTTGCTTGTCTCTGTCTACACCTACTACCCCGCCGACGTACTCAGCTACCTGTTGTCGATGCTGCTGCTTAAACTGCGGCGGGGGGTTTTACGCGGTTGTAATTCGAAGGAACGCGAGTGGGGTGGGAACACATGTGTCGGTGTGAGCGGAGAAGCGCGGGCTCCATGTGTGGGCCGGGGATAGATGCGCGTTCTGTGTCTACGATCTACAGACAGAGAGTGAGGTTCAAGGAATTCGGTGGGGGATTGGGAGCGAGGGGATGAGAGGTGCGAGCAGTGAGAACTTGCTATAGAGATGCGCAGGTGATAAGTGCGATGATGCCACCCTGATGCTGGCTGCAGGGGTTCTTTATTTGTAGCTCCCAAAAGCACAGAATGAAAATGGAGGCGTTTGGCTCCTTTCTTTTTCTTCTCTGCTCTAGAGTGGCAGCTCCAGCAACGGCTACTTCCTGCACGATCACTGCTCTCTCTCCCCCCTCCCCCCCC